CAGTGTCCCGGGATAGAGGGATAACGGGAAAACGGGATAACGGGCAGTGTCCCGGGATAGAGGGATAACGGGATAGATGGATAACGGGAGAACGGGCAGTGTCCCGGGATAGAAGGATAACGGGATAGATGGATAACGGGAAAACGGGATAACGGGATAATGGGCAGTGTCCCGGGATGGAGAGATAACGGGATAGATGGATAACAGGAAAACAGGATAACGGGCAGTGTCCGGGGATAGAAGGATAACGGGATAGATGGATAACGGGATAGAGGGATAACGGGATAACGGGCAGTGTCTCAGGACAGAGGGATAGAGGGCAGTGTACCTGAAGTAAGGACATGGGATAAAGGGATAAAGGGCAGTGTCTGGRTTCAAGAGCAGAAAGATGGGATAGAAAGCAGTGTCCCGATACTGAGAGCAGACACATGGGATAAAGGGCAGTGTCCCAGGAACAGGGATAAAAGGATAAAGGGCAGTGTCCTAGGTCCAAGCACAGGGACACGGGATGGAGGGCACTGTCCCCGTCCTGGCAGCAGGGACAAGGCTCGAGGCCCCTGTGCTGTGCTCTGTGCTGTGGGATGCACCAAGTGCAGCTTAGGCCTTTGGCGTTTTTAGGTTCTTCAGGTTTGCTGTTTCCACGGGAGAGAGAGGCCCGRAGAGCTGTTCAGAAGAGACATTTTCAATTACTGGAGTCGGGGGCTCCGTTCCAGGCTCTTTGTCCTGCCCCAGACCGAAAGTGTTTGTGGTGGCCACACTCTGGCCCTGAGCTGCACCTGCTGGGGTTTGCTGCGGGCAGAGCACCGGGAGCTCCCCTGGCCCCTTCCCATTTGGGAATGCTCTGCTTTGCAGGAGCCTTCAGGCCAGCCTTGGGCTCCTGGGACTGCCACAGGAGCTCCTGGGACCATTTACAGCCCAACTGCTCCTGACTGTCTTTAAAAACTTCCTGGGATTGTGTTTTCTGGCTGTGTTTGCCTGGGGAGCTCTGTCCTGCTTTGTGCTGGTGACTTCACCCACAGCACGGGCTTTTAAGTGGAGGTCTCTTTTTAATGAGGAATTAAMAAATTGCAGAGATTTTGCCACTGAYTRTGGCATTGATGAAGGGGTTAACTGGCTGAATTGAGAGTCTTGARGGGAAGCAGGTGGGACAGCTCCTCACTGGGGATAAGTGGAAGGAAATGCTGTTCTTCCCTTTTCCTTAGGTCAGGCAGGAACAAAGTCAGGAAGGTGAGAGAGGCTAGCAGAGATCTGTGGGTGTTTATTGCTCATAAAAGGATTTTTCTGGTCTTGTTTTCCTTTTTTTTTCTGATACAGTCCTAAAGAGAGTCTTTGTTGTTTTCATGTTTTTTTCCTATGGACAGGGTTCAGCCTAAACCTTCCACTGTGATCTGATCAGACTCTTATTCATTTCCTGGCAAGCCAAGATGACTTGTGGTACGCAGAGATTGTGACATGGGGAGAATTCAAAGGGAAAGATATCACCTTGGTGATGTCTTTCATTCCAGAAAGTTCATGAATTAAAACCAATAGAGTTTTAAGTTCTTATTTTCTCAAACTTGAAACATTTATTAACAATAGATAATAGGTCAGCCAAGATGGAGATTATTTATTTTTACCATAACCCCACCTGAAACACTATGAAAATAAGTATAACRATTATTTTTAGTGAAACAGGAGAGTAAATCACTGTATTTACTACCACCAGAGCATTTCCCCTGTGTGTGACATATGCCTGGCAGTGAAAAGATACAAAATCAATGTACGTAGGTGGATCTGTACCCCAAACTGATCTCCAAAACCCAGCGAGGCTTTGTGTGGCCTTTCACTCCAGCCAGTCCTGGCAGGGTGACAATKCCTGTGCCAGGCTGGCTGCTCCCTCCTGGTGCTGCTCTAAGCCCTGRTTGCTGAAAGGAGAGAAAGGAAGAGCCCACTTATTGCAGGACAAGAGCTCAGAAATGATGATTTCATTTTCCTTTGATAACTCTTGCCCTGTTCTCACTGATGCATTCTGCACAGCGCCTCAGTAGCATTGGACTATAGCTGGATAATAAACCACAGAATTGTTATTTCTTTTCCTGACTWCTGTAAATTTGCTTTGATCAGGGCTCTTAGCTCACCTGCCCTGCCTGGGCTGTGCCACCGAGTGCCAGGTGCTCACATCCCAACAGCTTCTCACTGCTGCTTGGGTACAAATCAAGGATTTTCATCACAAGCCACTGTTTCATAAAAGACTCTGATGGGGTGGGAGTAAAAAAACCTTTATTAAATGGCATGAACTTCTGGATCTGAATGTAATAAAATAATAATTTATGATTGTATTTTTAGGGATAAGAAATTAAAGTGCATATTAATTAAATGAATAATGAAAACCTTTTTGAGAGACTCTGCTACAAGTTGCAAGTAGCTGTTTAAATCAAATTATTTCTATGGAAAAATGCATTTCATTATAACATAATTAGCACATCTATTGTGTTTTTAATACAACTTGTGCTCAAGTGTGTTTGATCTGGYGTTGGCTTGTGGCAATTAGCAGTGAAGGAAATGAACTTCTTTGCTTTATTCCAGTCTTTGTAAATTTTAAGTGCCATATCTGGGGAAAATGGATATGATTTTTTTTTTTAAATGCCAGAATAATCTTGGGAATATATTGGGGTAGTTATTAGCAGTAGCAAAAAGAGATGGTGGGAAGCTGTGCTATGTGAAGCTGCAAATTCAGGGGTAATTTTATTTCTGGCCCAGCTGTGTTCAGTTCTATGTGTCCTGTCTCAGTGCTGGGGAAGCTGGACGGTTTTGGTGCTCCAGGATGRTTGTGTTGGGTGTCTGAGGGAGCAGAGCAGAGCAGGAGGGGATAGCAGGGCTGGGTTGGGTGAGGCTCCCAGCCTTGTTTCCCTTTGGATCCCTGCCCTGGGGCTCCCCTGCTCCCGGGAGGAGCTGACCCTGGCTGGGACCCTCTCATCTCCATCTGAGAGGCAGGAGAAGAGGGCAGGGGTTCACAGCCACCCTGGTGCCTGGCTGCTGGAATCCCAAACACCTGCAGGGACATGGGACAGGTCCAATCCTGCACAGGGCAGAGCCCCCCAGAGGGTTCAGCCTCCCCAACTGCACTGCTGGGCCTTTTCTCTCCCGTACCTCGGGCATTCCCRAGGGTTTCACCAACAGCTTTGCAAGGAGAGGGAGAAAACTGCTTTTACAGGAAGTTCTTTGGTGAATTGGTGCCCAGTCTGGGCTCACTGAGAGTGTTTTTATGGCTGAGGTTGCTGTGGCACACAGCCTGATGTTGTCTTCTGAGTGGAGCTTATTAATGCACAGAAAATCCAAATTTGAGGTCGGATTTTATGTAGTAAAAAACAACATAATACAGTACAGAAATATAAAAAGAAACCRTCCAGTGCAAACATCATATACATTGGAAATGGATACAGCATTCCTTAAAATAGCTTTATAAAATCAGGGTTAAAAACAGCAGTTCCAGGCAATACAACCTGACTGATGCMTACCAAAGAACTTGACCGACTGCACTAAATAATAACTAACCTTACCTGCCTATAGTCAACACCACAGGTACTGACAAAATCTTTAAACTGTGAGTACTATTAGTTAGCATTCTTTATAATACTCTAACATGTGGAACCCCTATGGCACATACTGCTGACTGGGTTAAGCAAAGGGTAATGAGCTCATTCAAAATAAAACCAAGGCTGTCATCCCAAAATGTACTTTTTTAAAAAAAATGAAGGGTGGGATCCAAAGCTTATTTGACCAATGGCAGTATTTTCCTCAGATTTCCTTTAGTCCATTTTTGAAAATGTGAGTGATTCCACTGTTGCTGTTGCATTTGTGTCCAACCAAATATTGCATTGGACAACTTTTTCCAGCAGTGAGGAAGAATGTGAGACCATTATTGTTCATTGCTATTTGTTGCCAAAAAAGCATTTGGGGGCAAGGRAGTGTAAATTAGAGATGATATGAACAAGTGAAAAGCAAATTTGGGAGGTTCCACCATGCTGGTTTAGGAGAAAAAAAAAAAAAAACAACAAAAAAGGTTTAGTATTATTTGGTTAGCTACCAAATTTAAATAATCAGATGAACTAAACTAATACATACAGCTCCAGCACAGGTCCTGCACGGGGGAGGATCTGTGTAGTAGGGCTCTGTTCCTCTTGGAGGCAGCAGGACTCTRCACTGCTGGGAGCCAGAGACAGGCCATGGTCCGAAGGGACAAACTTTTCCCAAAACTGGTTTGGCTGGGTAAATTCCATGTGGGAAATGTCATTCTGGTCATTCTRTGGCTCTTCATCAGGTGGGAAACCGAACACACCCTGGCCAGGGATGCGGTGGCTGCAGCTCCAAACCTTCCTTGCATTTACGCTGCTTTCATGCAGCCAAGTGTGTGGGTGTGCAGCCTTCTGGTTTGGGAGCCTAYAGTCTTTTCCCAGGTGGAAAATACTCTTTTTTTACAGTACCTGCTTAGAAACAAAGCACAACAGTTTCACAGTAATGAGGCCCTTCATTTTTTTGTCCCTGAAAAAATGTTATTGCTTTAATAMTGCTGAATAAACTCCCTGTTCAACCTCTTTAGGAATCTAGAGAGACCTGCRTTTCCATCTAGGGAGATTTACAGTGGTGGAGTCTTAACATTCCCCTGATCTCCACATTTCCTGCCCTGCAGGAGATGTTCTATTGAGTAACACTGAGATCCTATTTACAGAGAGAGAAAAAAAACAATTTTGCTGCTAGCTAGAGCAAATTCTAGCAYGCCAGAAATGTGCCTGAAATCTTCATCAGGCTGTTAAAAACAACAGATGAAACCAGATTGTGTGGCTAAAAATCCTATCTAATTTTATCTTGAGTAGCTTATAGATGTAGTAGAAGGCTATAAAGCAAAAAAAAAAAWAATAGAATGGAAAGTAGGAAAAAAATAATGCTTTTTTTTGAAAGTGATGGAATAATTTCTAATATTAAGTGATAGACCATATGTTCCTCCTCTCCTCTGCTGGGTGAGCATAAGGGTGGAATATCAATAAAGATGTTACAAGAGGGGAGGCAAAGCATCCAGCTGGAGATCCAGGGGGTTAGAACATCCCTTCCCAATGCYACTGAACCTGTCTGTCCTGGTGGAGGGTGACCTTGGATCATGTGGATGGAAATAGCCCAGGAGGAGAGGAATGAAGGAGACCCTGGGGACAAACTCAGGAGCAGTGGGGRAGGTGGAGAGAGGAGGTGTGTCCTGGAAAGCTGGAGCAGGTCCCTGAGCAGCACTTCTGGGGAAAAATTGAGTGTTAGCAAGGCCAGTGGTGGGAGTTGATAGAGATGGTCTCTGTGTGTCTTTGTAACCCTACTGCAGGTCTTTTCCATGCTTTTTGAAATCCTACTATGGCTTGAGGGAAGAGCTGGGAGTTCCTCTCTGGCCCCTGGCAGTCTCTCAGTGTCTATTTGTAGCGGGAGGGAGAAAATTCAYGGCTGGCTTGAACTTAATACACAAACTCTTGGCTTGGTTCTGACCCATAGAGCTCAGCCAGCATCTTGAATCGGGGCCCCCAGTCATTTAGAAAGTCATAGTCAATGTCTGAGTCCGAGGAGCCCGAGCCCAGGGAGCTCAGGGACTCRGCGATGGACTCGGCCCCCTCGTAGCCATAGATGTGCAGGGTGTCGTAGGGCAGCAGGTCCCTGTCGTTGTCAGCCTCGTCCTTCTTCACCTCGATCATCATCTCCATGCCGCCGGCTCCGGGGGCCGCGCTCCCCGCGGGTTTCTGCACCTGAGCGTAGGGACACGGGGCCGCCTCCGCCTTCAGGCCGTTCTTGCGCACCGAGTTGAGCACCGACACGTCGTAGCTGGTGGTGTCCATCTCGCCGCCTCCCTCCTCGTCGTAGGTSACCAGCTGCTCGTGGATCTCGGCCACGTTCCTGCCCAGCCCGCTCAGGTCCTTCTTGTGCCTCTTCCTCAGCAGAATCAGCAGCACAATGACTGCAAAGGAAACTCAGATCAGCGCGTGTGAATAGAGAAGTGAGACACCAAAACAAATTGCATTTAAGATGTGTAACACAGTCTGAAGTGATTTTTTTTGAGTTGTTTTTTTTTTTTTTTACCTATGTTTGTTCAAAAAATAGTTAAATGTTCTATTTAACTGTAGGATTAGTTGAAGGAGTGCAGTCTGGACAGGAATTGTGCACCCGACTTTTGAGCTGGCATCACAAGTACCAATGCATAGTGTCACAAGTTCATTGAATTAACTATTGCCTTGAACTGGTAAACCTCTTCACGCCAAGCATCAAATGCAGCTTATGTGGTGCTTGCAAAGCMGTTCTCAGGCAAAAAGAAGTTCTGTGCCTTCTCTGATAGATTCCAAATGCAGCAAACCTGCACTGGGCTGCTGATGTGTTACAGATTTATTTATGTTCACTGTGCTGTTTGAAAGGTTTCCAGGCTAGTTCAGCCTTTGGAAACAGGAATCCTGTTATTACTGTCCCAGCATAAATCTGCAGTTTTACAGCTGCAGGTGRGGCTGGTACCAGTAAATCCAATCTATCATTCATGTGTGCAATAACCTGTCCAGTGGCTCAGCCTGCCCAGTGCAGTGAGCAGCTGAAATTGTGCTAACAGGCCAGAGAGGAAGAGCTGTGAGATGAACCAAACGGACCTTTCTGCCTTTGTGACCATTTCACAGCCACAGAGCTTCTGTAGATCTCAGCTAAAGAAAGAACAGAACAATCCCCGCACTGCAGTGCAGAGAACATTCCAAAACCCAGACACTCACCRATGATTGTTAAGATGCAGACAAAAATCGCCACCAGCGCCTGGATGCTGACTCCCACCTGCTTGGCCCTCTCCTCACAGAAGGTGAAGTCGCCTCTCTCGTTGCACTTGCAGACGCTGACGACCAGAGTGCTCGTGCTGGTGAGGTCGGGGTCGCCGTTGTCGGAGATGAGGAYGGGCAGGTAGTGGAATTTGGCGAGTTCCCGGTTGAACTGCCCGTATTTGACTGTGATGTTAGCGGTGTTGTCTGGAAGGAGTAATCACAGCTCAGTAAGTGATCATCTCTATCAGAATTTCCTGTTGGTGCCTCTTCCCCTTAGCCAGTGCCAGCCCTTAGGGAACCCAGTGAAACCTTGGTGCTAACAAACACCTTGTTATTTCAGTATGTTAAGGCTTTAAAGATAAAGAGTTGCTTAGCTCAGCTAGACCAGTGAGTGCCAGGGTCACACTCTGGGGAGCTGAGGAATGGCATGGCAGGGATACGCTACCGTAGTTCTCAACCAGGGAGAAGTTGCTGTCTTCTGTGTCCAGGAAGAACCTGAAGAAACCTCTGGGTGATGTTTCATCCCTGTCAACAGCCGAAATCCTGATGATCACCTGCAAGGATGGAAGAGGTCACAGTGTTCAGCACACTGCTGCCTGCAGTGATAAAACAGGGGGAGCGTTGGAGCTGGGCTGTGTGTCCTGTGTGTGCCTTYGGAAAGGACAGGACACAGGTACCTCCTGATGCTCCTCCTCAAGGATTGCCAAGGCAAGCAATTTCTTTGTGGGTCTTCAAAAGMCCAGTTTTGCAACCTCAAATTTTGTGTAATGAAAGCATAACAAAAGCCTTTTGCTCAAAGGCTTGTGGCTTGTTGAAATGCCTGAGATGGTGTCTTGAGTGCTCAGCCTTGAGGTGTGACTGTCATTCTTGAAGTGCCACTGCCACACCTGGACACGCTTGGGTTTTGAAATCCTCAACCTGATGTAGATGAAATGTATAAAGTATAAAAAATGTGCTAATTATGTCCCAAAGGTATTTTAAAAATTAAACTAAAGGTGAAATTAATGCCTTGTGTGTTCTATCAGAGAGTCCAGGCAGTGCCCAAGTGTCCTGATTCCAGCCAGGAAATTTTTTTTTCCCCAGTAGCTGGGAAGGGTCACAAAGGTTATTTTAGCCCACCTCATGTCATAGCTGGGAAGGGAAAAGGACTCTTCCTGGGAGAAGAGATTCCTTCCGCTCAAGAAATTGTGGTGGAGGGAGCTGTGGGATAATGCTTGTCCTGAGTCGGAGTGAACAGTTTGAGTCTTTTTATACTTTTTAAAAAAAAAAAATCGTTGTTTTTGTTGTTGTTTTTATTTATATTGTTGCTGTTACTGCTTATGTTCTTATCTCATTGTCATTTCCAGTAAATTGTTCTTATCTCAGCCTGTGATCTTTACCTTTTGTGCCTCAAATYCTCCTCTCCATCCTGCTGCAGTGCAAAGGAGGGGGAGTGAGTGGCGTGTTGTTTGGAGTTTTAGYGGGAACTCTAAACTGGGGAGTACTACCCCTAAACCACAAGACAAAGTGTCTTAACCAAATATGACATACTTGGGCTGGCTGCTGGTGCCTGAGGCTGAACAGGTAAATCCAAAATACCACCACTGAACCAAGCACTAATGCCATTTGTGTGTGCAGGTCCCTGCACTCTACAGTGCCACATACAGCAATGTCTCTCTCAGAAATTTGAAATGGTTTCCTCTCAGTATCACACAGGGGCATTAGTGGGACAGAGCTGAGCTGCTGATTCTGCTGTGCAAAGCTTGGCTGTCCTTCATGGCTGAGCTGTTAATGCACAGACCTGAGAGCCTGGGGGGAGAGGAGCAGTGCAGCCCGTGTGTGCAAGCAGATAAAAGCCAATATTCCAGCAGTGCAATGTCCTCAAGAGATAATTCCTGACCGCTGATGTTTGGGAATCAGTGAGATGATSAGCTGTTCTGGGATGAAATCTGAGATTCACTTTTAATAGAAGACACCTTGCCCTTGAGCTTACAAGCAGTAATTCATGTTTCAGGGAGAAGCTCTCCCCTCTCACCTTTCCTGGGGCAGCATTTTCACACACTCGGGGCTCCTCAGGAGATACAAGCTCTGGAGCATTATCATTTACATCATCGACGATGACGTGAACGTGAGCATGGGACTCTCTGTCAGAAAGACGGTCTGGAATGACAGCAAGGGCACAGGTGTCAGGCTCTGGAGTCCCAGTGTTGGCTTACACCCCCCTTTCCACTCTTTGTGACCATTGCTGTGCCTCCCACAGGATGAAGAATTTATAGCTCCATCACAATTTAAACTTTTCCTCCGAGATTTCCCTAAAATTTCTCCTAATGGTTAAGTCATCAAGGATTTTTAAGGAATAAAATGACAACAGCTTATGGCTTCCTGATCCTTCCCGCTGCATGTCAATGGATTGAGCATTGTTCTCTGACACTAAAGCACCAGGGACAGAAAAGGCCATGTCTGTGTGGTGAAATATCAAACCAGGCTGGGACTGGCCTGCCCTGCTTCCTGTAGCTGAGCAAAGCCAGGGGCCAAATCTTAAAATTATCTTGGACCGATTTGTAGGGATTTGTTTGATTTGGAAGATGTCTTTGCAAGCCCTGGAGGGCCCCTTTTGTTCCTGCCTCAGCAGGAGAGGCTGTCAGATTTGCTTTCTGCCTTTCCTTTCTGCCAAGCCACAGCCCTGCTGGGAAGTGCACCTGGATTTCTTTCCAACTAGGAAGTGGGTGGCACTCACCATCCTCAAGGATCTCCACAGCTGCTACAGTGATGTTGTATGAGGAGCTGAATTCTCTGTCCAGGGGCTTGGGMAGCTGAATGACTCCCGTGTTGGATACCCTGATGTAGTCTCCGTTAGGACTTGCTCTCCGTAGCATATATCTGTTTTTTGTTTAAAATGAGATACGTCAATGCAAGGCTGAAAATTCTGTGTTTCCCTTCATTTCTCCTTAGAGGAAGGTCAGGGAGTTCTTGTGTGACAAATTACATTAATATCTTGACCAGGAGGGCTGAGAATATTTCCCTAAAACTGTGCAAGCTGTGAGAGTGAAATACTTCTGTCGGAAGCGTTTCCAGGTTATTGTACTTTGCTCTTTCAGGAGTCTATTTTCTTCTCCAAGCACATGCTTGAGAGAGTTCTTGCAATAAAAAATATAACAATAAATTATAACCATATAAAATAACTAGGGTTATATTTTTTCTCTAGATGTGCAAATTCTCTATGAGAAAGTCCAGGTGGTAATTACATGGGTAAATGTAATTTATGTTTGGCTTTTGGTCACCATATATATCCATGGCTGCAGTGCTGCAAAAATCAAATGGTATATTTTTTGTTTTGCTTGGCATGCAGATCCTGACAACTAGGGTCAAAATCTCAGTTCTTTGTCAAATTCTAGGCATCATCAATGAATTCTGCACTTTGAAACAGAATTGCTGAAGCTGCTGTTGCCTTACCTGATTTTCCGTTTAGCTGCGTCAGGGTCCTCGGCATGGACTGAACCCAGGGTTYTTACTTCTGCATGGTTTTCCCTCACTTTGAATTCGTAGGGGAGCTTGGTGAAGACGGGGGGCTCGTCCACRTCGGTGACCTGGATGGTGACGGTGGAGATGCTCCGGGGGTTGCCGGGTTTGAAGTGGCGCAGGTTCACGGTGGGGTCTGTGGCTTCAATGCTAAACCTGTATTCTGCCACTGTTTCGAAGTCCAGGGGCTAAAAAAAAAGGGCAGTTACAGATATTCTTTCATTGCTCATGTCTGAGGAAACTTTCCACGGGCTATCTGTGCAAATTGAAGCTCTGTGCTCTAATTCATGGTTGGAAATGTGACCAAATTTTATCTTGGCTGGGCTCACGGGAGAGCCTTTCCCAGCTGAACTTCTCTGCCATAGCGTGGCTAAAACCACCCCTGGTGAGAAACAGATTCATCCAGTAGTCTAAGCTCAGCAAGTATCTGTTGGGTTAAATAATTTTCTTTTTATAATGCTGTAATTTTCAATCCTGTAATTTTTATAATCCTGTAATCCTCTAATAAGTTCTATTTATAATTCTGTAATAAAAACTGAGTTTGATCCTTTGCCCCAAAGACTGGGGAAGAGATTCCCCTCTTGGCTAAGCTTTGATTTCCGAAGGCATCTGAGGCAGATTGCAGATCTGCACTGATAGCTGGGGCATTCAGTGATGAATGACATCCTCTTCCCTGTTTTTCCCATTGCCTGAGACCATAAAAGGAATCACACAATGGGAGGAAGGCCAGGAGCTCAGGCAGCAACAAATGCTCATTTTGAAGTTTCCTTTGTTCTACCACGTGAGATTCCAAAAGCACTGAGACACACAGCAGTTGTGGTGACTCTTGTTTTTCTCTTTGGGCAGGCATTGCAAAGGGAAGGGATGGGACTTATCCAGCAGCTGGAATTTTATCTCACATGGCTACATTTGTAAAATTATATCACGTGCACTGCCAACATCACATTGCAAAACAAGGTGGTGAACTTTGGCCACGACATGTTAAGGGAAGATCTGGCTCCAAATCCCTCAGGGAGTGTGTGTGGGGTCTGACTGCTCCCTCTGGGCAGGCWCTGCCTTCCTCAGCTCCTGGGATGGCCAGGGAAGAGCTGCACCAGGGAAGGGAAGCTGCTCATACCCAGAGTGACCACAGCTGAGGATTTTACTGCCTGCCTGTCTTGGAGGATTTGGTGCTGGTTTTCCTGAAAGTTTTCTCTTCTTAATGACATTTTGAGTCTCAACAGTTACAGAGAGGCATTTGGGAGTGAAAAACACATTCCTGTCAATCCGAGGATTACATTAGTTGATTTATAGTCCTCTCTCCTCTGTTTTTTTTTACAGCAAGTCAATGAAATCAATGAAGCCTTGGTTTGRCGATGCTCTGCAGCAGTCCCTCGGAACAAATCAAGTAGGTCTGAGAATTCAAAAAAACTCAAAGAATAAACCATAATAAAGGCTTTGGAGAGTCTTAAAGACTTATAAGAAATTAGTGGGGAAGCTCTGAAAACACCCTGAGGAAAATGAGGGAGCTGTGACTTGATTGGAGCAAATACCAAATTGCAAAGAGACTTTTAGAAAAGAGGTGAGGTCGATTTATTTATATTTTCTATTTTGGTTTCACATGGGCTGCAGAAGGGAAAGATTTTTTTACTTGGCCAGTTGGACCACCTCTTAAATCCCTCACTTTTTGAGGCATCCAACCACTTGAAGTCCGAGAGGAGCCCCAAGTGTGTAACCTGAATATCTGACACAGCCTCACTGCCCTCGGAAGCAATTCTGGCATTTTCAGCCCTGGAGATTGAACMGGACTAGAAATCACCAGCTGTTCTTCTCCCAGAGCTTCAGAGCAGGTGGTCAGGATCAATTCAATATATTTCATGCTGACTTTTCACACACGTTTCCATTTTTTCCTGCTGCTAGTCCTAAACCAAAACCCCCACTGTTTTCCATTGTTACACATGGAAAACCTCCAGAATCATCTTTGTTACAGGGAAMAGTACCTTCTTTGGCCTAATGATTCCTTCATTTGTGTATGGATTTGCTTCAATGTCAAAGGTGTCCCTGAACTCTCCTTGGATGAAGCTGTATCTTGTATTTCTATGTTGTGGTTCGTCAATATCTTCTACTTTAACTCTGCCAACTTCTCCTCCTACTGAAATGTTTTCAGGAACTTTAAAGTGAAATGATGCTGTTAAAAAAAGAGAAAAAGATATAAATGATGCTGTTAAAAAAAAGAGTGTGTGCATGGAAGTTAGAATTTGTTAAAAATATCCTTACTTTACAGATGCTCAGGAAAATATTTCATTGAGAATTCAGCACTGTAAGACAGTGCTTTGCTGTTTTTTATAAAAGTATAAATAATACCCCAAATTGCCAAGATCTTTTAAAAAGTGATTAAATTAATACTGATTTTTGTTTCCTGCTTATCACCCAGGAAAAGTGGTCGTGGCTGAAACACGGAAGAGCTTTGGCATATGGAAGATTCTTTTGGCCATTTTTAAGGGAAGTTGGATTGTGTTGGACTATGACCTAAACTTGTGGTGGCTGTGTCAGCCCTTGGGGTGTGAGCGGCTCGGAGCTCGTGTGACACTCACGGTGTTTGAACACGGGGAAGTTGTCGTTGATGTCAGACAAAGTGATGATCACTGTGGCTGTGCTGGATTCCCCAAAAAACCCCAGGCCATCTTTGGCTTCAACAACAACCTCATACGTGGATTTGGTCTCTCTGTCTAAATTGGGCTCTTTTGTGTAAATCACACCTGTAAAAAAAATCACATTGAATACAGTTAGATTTTGCAGCACATCCAACTTCTCTTTAATTTTGACAGCAACTTTTTATCTTTTTCTTTTATCTCCCCACATTCTGCTCAAAGTAGCAATTTTACAACARTATTTTTCAAGAAATATTAGAATTTTTTTCTGCATGATGGAATATTTAGGAGAGTTTGTGCAGAACCTTCCTTTTAACTGATTTTTAACCTCTTTACCTGCATTTTTTGCACTAGGACACCGGTGTGGTTAAAGAGCTCCTTACATTATTTTTAAAACYGGGCAAAATTTAAGCCAGAAAGTTTAGGAAAGCAAATGATTATTGATTACTGAATGCTGCTTCAGAATTTATGTATTCCCTTTTCCTGTTTGGTCACAGGAGCAAATCTATGCTGAACTGAAAACATGAACTTATCTTAGCTYGTGGTCAGTCTTTCCATAAGTGGGAAAAAATTACCTTTTATCTTCTCATTTTGTTCATGGCAGCTGATATCCTGATTTTATTAGGATTTGATTATTTTATTATGCTGATTTTCATTTCCAAATGCAGACAGCGGCATTGTGGGGAATGTGAATGAAAAACCTTTCTAAATCATGGTTGAAATAATATTTTTGAATCATTATCCCTCTTCTCCAGAATGAGGAAATGAAGAAATGAAAATGGGTTTTTTTTCTAAGGGTGGGGTAAGGATAGAATGTTGGAACATTTGTGTGTCTGACTTACCAGAGTTGTCAATGGTGAAATTTTCACGTCCTTTGGTGATTTGGTATTTCACCGTGGCRTGGCCTGACACTGTTGGGTCATCASCATCCACTGCTGTCACCTTGGTGACTGAGGTTCCTAGAGAAGGATTTTCAAGGTGCACATTTAGTCCAAGTTCTGCTTTTTAACCTGAGAAAGGAGTGCAAGGAGTGGTGGGAGGACGCACCTACGGGTGACATTTCGGGGACAGAGCCGTTGAACACCTTCTGCACGAACACGGGGCTGTTGTCGTTGATGTCGTACACTTTGATGATGAATATGGAGGGGTCCTCCAGGGATTTGTTGTTTGTCCTGTCGATGATGTGGGCTGTCAGCTCATACTCTGCCTTCTTCTCCCTGTCCAGCCTCTCGAAGGCGTACACGTCCCCRCTGCTCTCCTCCACCTTGAAGATGGTGTTGGCATACTCGCCCTCAATGATGTACTTGGCGCTGCTGTTCCTGATCATGCTGGACATGATCTGCAAGGAAAGGGTCATTTGGGGAGGTCAGGGTGGGCTTTGGTAGCAGAGCTTCTCCCAGAGGATTCACACACTCAGGAATTTCYCCATCCCACTGGGAACCCCAGCAGCCATCAGGATTTTTGCTGTCAGGTCATCCCTGAACAACCCCACAGCAGCTCTGGCACCTGTGGTTATAGGATGACACTTGCATCCCCTCTAAAACCTGCCTGCTTATATGGAAAAAAGCTTTTTTTTATCATCATATCTCATATATTTCCCAAAGATATAAATTCTTCATGCTGTCACCACTTACAGATAATTAACATTTTTTGTGTCTGAAAGAACATGAGCAGCATGTTGAGTTTGAGCTACTCTTGTTTGCAGCTTCCTGGACCTGCCAGAGGTTTTTGTTCAGTTTCACAGGATTACAGAAGTAAATCTGTACTCACAGCCCCTGGCATTATTCATTGTTAGTCTCTATTCCTCAGCCCTTAGCAGAATTCYTGCCATGGCTGACAGCTTCCTTGTGCCCAGTCACATGCAATCTGTTAACAGGCAGTCTTCAGCCTCATGCTGTGACAGGAAAGTTGAATTTCCACCCCACAGATTTCAAATTTAAGACTGTATGCAATAAAAAAGTGATGGGGTAAAGTGAATGAGTATTAAGCAGTTTTAAAATATAATTTAATTCTATTCTAATTGCTTTTGAATGCTACTTAATCTGCATATAATCTGATGATGCTTCCCTTTTATACCCTCACCTGTACAGGGACACTGACAGAAGTTTAAACCCCAATTTTCCATGCACTCTATCAGCATTCCTATTTCAGCCAGCTAATTATCAAGACTTGCTGGGTTTGACCGAGTATTTCAAGCCTTTTGTTATTGATGTTGTCATAAATGTCACCTGTTGGGTATGCAGGATTTGATTTATCCTGCAGCTGTCATTTACTGCTGAGAACTTTTTAATTTCAGTTTTCTCTTTTGAAATGTGTCATGAATATTTCCACCCCTCATTCCTTAACCATGCTTCTGGCTGCTGGGGCTGCTGAAGAGCAGCTCACAGCCCTGGAGATGTCACATGGGCAGCATGTTGAGTTCCCCCTTGGCTCAAGGATGGGGYAGTCTGTGCCTTCTTTCCCAATTTTTATGTACCTGCTCAGTGTAAAAAGCATTAACTTTCCAGAATGGGTTTTCTGGTGCTGAGGAGGAACACACAAAGAGAAGCAGCCGAGATGGTGCCAGATGAAATCCCTGCAGCTGTCCCTCAGCTCTGCTGCTCTGGGGCCTTTCTTTCAGGGTTTTACCAAGTGCTCAAATGCCCCAAGCAGRTGTGACAGTGCTGCTGACACACCCCAGAGCTTTGCAGAGGGAATATCCTCATTTAGGACAGCTCCAGGAATGGAAGCTGCTCCTCAGTCTGGGGCTGAGTTGATTGAAATGCAGCAGAGATGCCCTGTTGTAGCTGAGAGGATCCGTGGCCCCTTTGCTTTCTCCCTGGGGCTCTCTGTCAGCCAGCAGGGCCCATTTCACCCTGCTGAGACTGCCCTGACAGATGTGGGGTCAGACAGGGCAGGGACACCTTCAGCTGCCTTTATCTGCAAAATGTCACAGGGCGTCCCTTTGAAAGGCTGCATTGGGAGAGCTTTGCTTGGGTGATGTGCAGTTAATAATGGGCTTTTATGAGCACTGTCCTGAAGAAAATGAGTTTGCAAGCAGGTCAATGCTTGTTATTATTTTAAAAAAAATATTTGCTTTGGCTTTGTGCAACAATATCTTTGGTTGTGTTTCTAAACATAGCACTCGAGTTTTGTGTCCAGGCTTGAGAGATGTAAACTGTGTGGTTTTTAACAAATATGTTTTTATTTTTTGATCTCTGAGGTTTCTGAAAGAATCTCATGCTGCCAGAAAAATACTGACACACATCAGGCTCCAGAATTCCTTCTTCCCTGTGCAGGTACTGTGGCTGTTGCTGCATTGTGGAATCCCCAGACCTGCCATTCCCAAAAATTTATTTGTACTCCTCAAAGAAATGAAAATCCCTTTCACACTGCTCTTAATTTACTCTTTGCACACATACTGAAGATTTTAACATGTAAATATGGAGATATTAAGCTCCATTTCTCTTTCCTTTTCATCTCTCCTGCCTAGACTGCAAACAAATGATGCTTTTGAAGATCCTTTGCTGTTTTCAGGCATCCATTGCTCACCGGTTGCTGCCTACCTTGCCAACGTGGTGGGGCAAAGGCGAATCAATCTCTTCCCTGATGTGCATCTGGTTCCATATCCAGTGTCTCTTCTGGCGCTTGTGACTGCCACCATCTGCACAAAGGTTTGGGGTTGGTCTCTGAATTCCTGAGCCAGCAAATGCCAGAGCCAGGAACAGCGAGAAAAGGAKAATAAGGGGCCTCATCTTCTTCTGCAGCCTAGAAAGTAACACAGAAATGGGAAAATATAAGTAACAGAATCAGATTGAGCAGAGTGGGCACATGTGGAAGTGCAAATGGACATCAYTCCTTCTGCAGGGAAATGTGATGCCTTTAGTTCTTCTCATCTGCTTCAGCACGAAAATTTGAAAGCTTTTTCCTCCTTTTTTTCCCCTCCTACRAAACAGTTTTAGCTGTATGACAACTGTAAAAACCAATGAAAAGTATTTAAATTAAATAAAAATTGAGTTTTGGATGCTGGTAGAAAAGGCAGCCTCCCCCAAATGACTGTCATTGCTGAGGAGCAGGTTCAGAGCCGAGAACCCCGCTGTGCACAGGGCTGAGCTCGAGTTAACGCCACTTGAAATGAAATGTTCCAGCCTGACAAACCCAAATGCGGTTTTTGACATGCCCTGACACAAAATATGTTGTAGCCAATATCTTCATATGCAAAATATTGATTTAGAGTACAATGGGGGGGTGGTGGTGGAAACATTGTTTTGTGTGGAATTTACAATCAGTTCCAAGTACAATACAGCAAATTATCTTTTTTTAAGAGCTCAGGTATTGATTCAACTCCTTGTCTTTTGAAACTTTTGAAGACACCCATAAAGTTCTTTTATCTCCTGTTCTCAGGCTCTAACATCTGCAAAGTGATAATTTGTGAAATTATTTTCAGCTGAAACCATGTTTTTGCATCCTRTGTTAATATCAGCAGACTTTAGGCCTGACTTTCGTATCAGAGGAGTTATTTTAATGTACCAAAGCGGATTCATTTTCTTACTAAATTTCCCTTTCCC